ATTTTTTGAAACAAATTATAAATAAATTTATAAAATACAAATAAGTAATTTTTATTTAAGTAAATTTCTGGACTAACCATAAAACTGTTTTAATTAAGAACCATTTTTTTTATAGCGAAATTTTCTCAGAATTAACTTGTTTTTATAAGAAATAGGTATGTTATAATAGATAAAAAGGTTTTAATTAAAAAATATGTTTTGTTATTCTATTATGAAAGTCTATTTAACAATTTTTCACTATAAACATATAGATATATAAACAATTCTATTATTTTCATTAAAATAAAAACTGCACTAATTTCCTTAACAATAAAAAAAAAATTTTTATTGTAAAATTATATTTAAAACACATCGTATAGTTATATTTTTTTTCTTTTTCGTTCTGTTATTTATGTTTAACGTGTAATATTGTTTTTGTTGCAAATTTATTAGAATTTTTTTTATTAAATATATTGTTTAGCATTTAAATTAGTCTTAAGTAGTTTTATAAAAAATAAAATATGCAAAAATAAACAAAAAACTAGAAATCAAAATGTTGCTAAAAACAATATAATATAATACAATAACATATATATTATAATGAAATAATAATGAAAATAAAAACATAAGTTCTTATATAAAAATATTTCAAAACAGAATTTAAATTTATAATTGTACAAAATAAGCTTAAAAATGTAACAAGCAAAAACCAAAATGTAGTAGAAAAAAATATTAATTTACTAAAAAAATTGTTTAATTTTAAATTATTACCATATAGCAACCATATATAGAATATGCAATAAAATATTCAAAAGAAAAATATAAAAACAGTTTACATTTAGTTATAAAAGTGAACAATAAAATATTTACTTGAGTTATAGTATAAGTACAAAAAAAATATTATTTCAAATAAAAAAAATTATTTTAAATAGCCATATAAAGGAATAATATTAAAAACCGAGCTGTTTAAACCATGTGGCTGGCTATATAAACATAATGAAAGAAATGGATTTTTAGAATAACCAAGGAGGCTTCTTGGTTTTTCTTCAGATTTTTCTTATTTAATGAGTCTCCTCAATTATGCGTACTTACAAGGAATCTGTTGTCATTTCAAAAATCGTTTTGCAGAAACGGCATATATAGGTCTCTGAGAGAACAATTTTTCTTAGATGTGGTACTACAATTTGCAGGTTCGTTCAGAAACCTTTTGAGAATTTTAACATATTTTCTGCTTAGTGCAAGTTGTCTCTTTTTTAATCTGTCTATGGTCTTAAGAGTTCGTTTAAATGTTCTTAAATTGGGATTTTATTCCGTGTCTGAGTTCTGACAAAGTCTAAGACCACCAAGACCGTTTGGTTATCAGACTTTATATTGATAGTTGCTCAATATTTGTTTCCTCTCAGACTTTCAAGAGTAAATTAAGAAAATTAAGAAAGGTAGATCATTGTATGCCTATCATAGTGTTAGCATCCTAAATTTTCGAACTGTATGTCAGACTTTGGAACTCCCAAACAGAATGAATTGTAAGATTGTTAGTGAGGGAATGAAGATTATAGTACACATGCCATAATGTTATCATCCTTTAGTTGCGTCCTATATATCTACGAGTTTTATGAACTCAGAAAAGCATTGATATGAGGGAATGAATATCTACAATATTCCGCAATATTTCGATATTGCCATCCTCAAGTTTAGACCTCTATATCGAATTTGTAAACCCTTATTTATTTAAGTTAAAATTTCTGTACCTTTTTCTATTCGTTTTTAGTTTTTAAAATTTCGCACTTCTGTTTAATAAAAACATTATTTATTTTTAAAGAATATTTTGTTAAATTTTAATAATATTCAAAAATGATTTCGCTCTGAAAACTTTATTTTTCTACCATAAAAAAATAAAAATTTTAACTATTAACTACTACGTTATTAAACAATTTGTATGATGCTATACAATTGCTCTATATATTATATAAAATAGACTTTAAACTGTCAAATAATTTTTAATAGATCACTTTCTAGGATGGTAACTCATGGGTGTTTCAATTTCTATATGCATAGTCTAAATTTTAAAACTTAATATATCTCAAAGACCGTAGTACCATTATAGCATATTTTTGTACTTCATTCAATGCAAACTCACTATAACTCAAGGCAAAGTATTTTTAAAGTCATTTTTACTAAAGAAAATAATACTTAAAAAGCAAATAGAACAAATAAAATTTAGTTTTTTAAAATTTACATATACATATACACATATATTGAATACACATAAACACACATGTATTATTTATTTATGATTGCAAGATTACTAAAAAAAAAATTTAATCCAAATATCTTTTATTAAAAATTAATAATGTGTATTTCACACAAAATATATACAAAAGAAAAAATACAACAAAAATTATAAATACGAATATGTATGCATTAAAACTATTATATGGAAAATATAAATAAACATATAAAATATTCTGAAACGTAAAAAAGTCATTGATTTATTTTGAATTTATGATAATGTATTATAGTATATAAAAAACAAGGTAAGTAATATTTATTTATTAAGTATATAATGTATTTATAAAAGGTCATTCATTTTCTTTGCCGACACTTGCCGGAAAATGTATTCAGTTTAGGAACTACATGTCTAATTACGTGTCTATCCGATATAGCAGGCAGAGGAATTAAAAATATTTCCCGTTTTATTCAGTAAAAATTGATTCCCGTTAAAAAGCAAACGAATTTTTATCTTAAGTTAAATTACTATGACAATTAATCCAATTGTTCAGACAATGTAGCCCCTTAATACATATGTTCTACTACTACTTGTGAACCCACTACTTCACATTTAAGTAACTTATGCGTAAAGGAGTTATAGCAGCTACTTAATTATGAATTAATTATTAAACCAAGCGTTGGACACTTCTTTCTTTGGAATTACGAAAATAGCTGGCGTGCCCCTACAACTGTAGCATTAGAATGAACCCATCTCAAAGACATATATGAATAGTGTGTTTTACGAGGTAGGCTATTACTGACACCTACCAACGATCATATCATATCCTATTTTCATATGTGTTGTATATATACTTTAACCAGAGCTTTAAAGTGAAATCCCGACATTTTCATATAACTGCACTGAACTATTGGGTTGGGGAAATTTATTTTAGAAAACTATACAGTTCACAGCCATGATCTTAATAAATGTTCCCTGAAGATTTAAAGATTCAATTGAACTGCTTCAAAAGAATTAATAATTTTATTTAAAATTTATTTAAATTTTATTATTTATTATTCATTAATTATTTTTTATCAGATTCGTCATAGTTAAAAAACTGCGGTGAATTTGATCCGTCTTATTATTAGGTTAGTGTAGCAGAAACTTAAGAAAAAACTAGGCATCTACTTAGCTTACCAATAGAAGTTATAACTAATATAGTGGTGTCTTGCTGTGACCCGTAAAAACTTACATATATATCAGAAACCATATAAGTATATAAATATATGGGCTAGCATGTAATTGAGTGACGAGATGAGAACGTGGATGGTTCTTGTCGTAGCTTGCATAAACTCTCACTGACTTTTCAATAGACACAGTCTTAGGCTGAGAGTGTTCCTGTTTCGAATATTGTAGACATTTTGGAAATGAGATATATATGATAAAACATCTATTTTATAGCACACAGCTTTTGGCAAAAGCAGATTGATTGATAGACAATTATATCAATTAATTCTAGCACAGCAGTGTCTGTCGCTAAGATTAATAACAACCTGCATTTTATTAGGGTCTCAAAATTGTGACATAATTTACAAATAGTAAAGGAGTACAAGAGGTTTACAGTCCTTCATATTGATTCAGTATCCTCTTTGAGACTATAGTTTCAAAGCAACAAAGTTCTCAATAGGCCTCCGCCTGATATTTATATAGGTAAGAAAAGCGCCATCATCGTTTCGCAAGAATTGTTCTAGTGCAATTGAGATCAAGGTTAGCTATGTGCTAAACATTTACTTGTCACGCATAAATGTGTGGTTTAATCTGCTCTTCATCGTTAAGCAAGAGCTGTCTTAGCACAATTGATTTCAGGATATGGCCATTTGCTAGACTGTTACTTGAAACTAATCAATTTGTAACATAAAAGCTCAACTAATCATAACGTTATCTATCTATTCTCATACCGTAAAGCAAACACCACTTATACAGTTAAATTCTATGGGTTATTGGCTCCGACCTATTAACGTTGTTAAGTTACTTCACCTCGAAGCTATTTTACTTCTTCTTCTCACTCAACTTTAATAGAATAGCATCCTAATCCACAGGATTAGGACATTTAATCCCTATTGCTCATTATCTCCGACATATTGAGGTTGCCAGTTTACTTCACCTCGAAGCTAATTTTCTACTTCTTCTCACTTAACCTTAACGTAATTGCATCCCGATCATTGAGAATTAAATATTTAGATTCATGTACCATTTGATACCAAATAAATTACGATATTATGTTAACAGGTACAGACTATAACAACATTAATTATAATTAACACAAAAATTTTATTTTTAATTTTTTATTTATACATATCAGATTTTACATTTTAATTTTATAGAATTGAAATAACTAAAATTTTGCATACATACAAATTAATTTAAAATGATATAATGATAATCAATTATAATAATAATAATAGTTTACGATTACATATTATAAGCAAATTTAATGAAAAGTTAACTAAGAACTAAACATGAAATCATCAGTTGGTTTTTATTAAAAATAAAATTTCACAATTCTTACATTGTTTTAAGAATTTAATATAGAAAACTTTTAATATATTAAACTATTCATTTACAAATATGTATATTTTAAATTATACATTTTCATAAAATTTTTACATTTGACAATTGTTTTTTTTGTTTTGTTTTTAACTTAAGACGGGCCTGGTAAAAATATATATTTATTTATTTAATTTTATATATGTATATATATATATATATAAATTTTATTTTAACAACAAAATTGAAAAAATTCTTTATCATCATAAAATCTTAAAAAAAATTCACTCAAAATAAGTAATATTATTTATATTTTTTAATTTTCTTGAATTCCATAGCTTGTAAAAATAGTTGTAAATCAACAGCTTGTATTTGCCCATCGATATCTTAAAAATAAAAAAGTTTTTTTTATGAATAAGAAATTGTATAATTTTACAATTAACTTTAAACTTAAAACTAATACATCATTGTTTCTAGAAGTGATTTTAATATGCTATACAATCAAATCTTTTATAGCAAATTGATGGGGATTTTAATTTAAAGCAAATCATAAAGTTGTCTTTTTAAAAATTTTAAATATTTTAATTTCCGTTACAAAATAGATATTGCGGTAAGTTTAGCAATAATTTTATTTTTTAAAATTGTTTTTTCTTTTTTGGTAATTTATTTAGTTACAACGGTGTTAATATATTTTTAATTTTTTAAATAATTTAAATTTTTCATCAAGACTTTATTAAAAATTAAAAAATTGTTTTTATGTTTGCTATTTTAAATACAAAATATATATGAGCTGTTTGCACACTTTTTACAAAAAATTGTAACAATATTTTTTATAATTTTAATTATAATTATAAATATATATGTATATAAAAATAATTATAAGTATTAAATTTTAAGTATATTTAAGACGATTTGGTTATGCTATATTTGCTTTCAATTTTCTTTCATATTATTATGATTAAAATGAAATTTATGAGACTGAAGCACTTTTAAGTAAATGAGCAACAAACAATTTCTAAAACTCCATAGACATTATAAACATTAATTGGTTTTTATATTAAAAAAAGAAAAAAAACTCAACAGCTACACTGGGTGCTCAACAAAACAGGAACAAAATTATATAGGAAAACATATGGTTAGGTAAACATATTGATATATATGTTATATAAATATATATAAAACTACTTTTTTTTAAAACTGACTGATATGCTTAAAATTTGAATAACTTTGTTTAAATTATAAATAAATTGAAATTATTTTTTGTTGTTAAATTTGCAACATAAAACTGAATAAATGTAATTTAAAACATTGAAACATTTAATCAATGATTTTTTTTATAATTAGTAAAATATATTGTTAATAAGTAACTAGTTTATTTAGCTTCTTATAACAGAAGGACAAACATAGAGAAAAATATATAGTAGTATATAGCAGTATTTTACTGAATTAAATTATGATGAAATTAAAAGATATTGAAATGTCCATAAAAAATGATACATAAAAAAGCTAATATAGAATATAAAATATATTATTAGCTTACAATATACTTTAATAATTTTTTTTTATAAATATACTGTTTTGGATATTTTTTAAGTAGCAGCTGTTTTAAGTTTGTCTTCACAGACCGAATTTTATGTCTGTTTAATAATTATCAAATATTATTAATGTTCTGTTGGTGTTCTAACAAACATCAAATTTTCTAATTATTATTCTATTATTGTTATAATTGTCTCGTTAGTTGTTGTTGCTGCTGTGATAACCTTTGAACTTCTTAGCAGTAACCAAATCGTGCTAAATCTCATCTGGATAAACTATGAGAACGCTCACGGCTGCTACTACCTGATGAGGTATTTTGTTTAGTGTTACCAAGATCACCGATACGTTGATGAGGTGGAAGTTTTTCGAAAAATGGATGCCTCAAGGCTTCACCTGTTAAAGAGAAAAACATAAATAAAAATTAGTTTATTATAAAAAAAAAATTTTTAATTATTCTAAAAGCGCCGGCACCTTTTTTTCTATATTCAAAACGAATTTATTATTTATAATATTTGAATAGTTTATTACGTTCATTAATTCTATCATAGTTTAAGCTATACTGGTCTTTTATTAATATGGGAGATTGTGCGCTGCGATCTAGAGTTCTTTTATCTAGAGTCCTCTCTTTAGAGATTCAGAATATTATTTTAACTTCAAATATATTTTGATAAATTGCGGTATTAAACTTACTTGAACCTACTTTCAAACTATTATTTTTACAAAATCAAGTTGTACTGAAATGATTCCTTTGACACATTTAACATAAATACTTACTGTATTTTAGGAATGTACTAAGCCTACCTTTCAAAATAGTTGAAAACATTAACTTTATTTACACAATATAAAGAAAAACAGTTCTCAGTTACGAGAAATTTTATTTTAAATATTAAATAATTATTAATTGTAATTAAATTAAAAAATCAAACAAATTTTTTTTATAACTATTATTCATTCAATTAAAAATAATACAGCTTCATTAAGGAACCATTTCAGTTGTTCAAAATGTTAAAATATACATACAAAATAAGACGAATTTTAAATAAACACTTGTTTATATTATTATAGGACTAACATAAAAAAAGTTATGTTATTAAGTACTCAATAAATACATTAATACGATTATTAAATACTGTAATATTATTAAAAACACATAAATACTTTTTTTTAGTACTTTTAGCATGAGAACATAAACACTTACCTAAAGTAACACGTTGGGATGGCTCATATTCAAGCATTTTTTTAATTAAGTCGAAGAGTTCACAATGATCCTCAGTATCACTCATTTGATATCTGAATAATGGCTTACAATGATCGCGAACGTAACGTCCAGCTGATGACTTTTCATCCCAATCCAACTTACCGTGGTAGAAATATTTAGTTTTAGTTTTGCTGTAAAGAGTATGGTTACTACAAATTAATCAAATTTCATGAAGTAAACTGCGCGTAAATAATTGTAAGCGTGTTTTGCTTTGCATTACCGTG